GTGTGTGTGTGTGTGTGTGTGTGTGTGTGTGTGTGTGTGTGTGTGTGTGTGTGTGTGTGTGTGTGTGTGTGTGCGTGCGTGTGGTTGTTGGAGGAGTAATGCGAGAGAACAGATGACGCATGCAGGTGTGTGAACAAGTACCAGCACTGACCCATTGACCAACACACACACAACCAGTGCAGTACCTCTCCTCGTCGTCCTCCTCTTCGCCCATGACGTCGTCGACAGCGTCGTCCATCATCTCCTGCTTCATATCCATCACCTCAGACTGATGTACAACACACACACACACACACACACGCACGTCAGGCAGCGAGGTAATGCGGTCATGAGGCGTGCGCTGTGACAAGGTATTGCATTCCACGCAAGTCACCCCACTGTTACCCATCATCGTACACACACACACGTACCTGTTTCTCGAATTCTGCCATGATCTTCTGCAATGCGGGAATGTTCATCGTCTTGTTCATGCGCGCCATGGCCTGAGGGGATTGGGGGTTGGTTGTTGGGTGAGCGCCAGTGTTACGCACACGCTTACATCACACATCGCTGCCGCAGCACTTTCCCAAAACAAGCACGATTGACAAACACCCGAAAATGACACAGCCAACCACCCACACCCACACCCACCCACACCCACACCCACACCCACCCACACCCACACCCACACACACACACACACGCACACCCACACCCACACCCACACACACACACACGTGCGCATGCGCATGTGCACCTTTGTGACGCCCGACATGGCCTTGGCCATGCTGTTTGTGGCCTTGAGCGTCTGTTGTGGTTGGCAAGATAATGTGGTGCATGCAAGGCATACGTGAGTCGGAGGAGGAGAGACAGGCAAGCAGGAAGCAACAATGAGGCAATACGCAGATTGACCGTCCCAACAAAACAAGGCGAACGACGTACACAAGGGTGAAACACTTCCACGAAGGTGAAACAACACCGTTCACAACTCAAGCAAAGACACACATTCACACACACGCAGAAGCATGTACAAGCACACACACACGCAGAAACATATACAAGCACACACACAAGCACACCTGGATCTTGAGGGAGACGGCTTGGATCTGTGTTTTCATCATGATCATCTTCTTCTGGAAGCGGCGGGTTCTCACCACGTCCTTTGCCATGATCTTGGCCGCATCCACTTGCCCTGCGCGGGCCGCCTTCTTGATGTCCATCATGGTCTTCTTCTCTTGCCGTTCCAAGCTCTGACGTTCCCGATCCAAATCCCTGCACCACGCAAAAAAAAAACACACACACACACACACACACACACACACACACACACACACACACACACAGGAAGCGAATGGGACAGTACACAAAAGATCAGCAAAGGCAATTGAGAAAGGGGGAGCACGGACAACCTTCCTGACACGGTGACATCACAAAAACACACACACACACACACACACGCACACGCACACGCACACGCGCAAACGCGCATGCAGACACACACACACACACACACACAAACACAACAGCAGACACACACACACACACACACACAAACACAACAGCAGACACACACACACACACAAACACAACAGCAGACACACACACACACACACAAACACAACAGCAGACACACACACACACAAACACAACAGTACCTCATGGCGCGTCGCAGTAGCCGCTGGTTCTCCTTCATCATCTCCTCCGGCGTCTTCTTGCGCCCAAACAGCCACTCCATGGTCGGTTGTTGTTGTTATGTGTCTGTCTGTCAACGATCCCCTTCCTTTTCTTTGCTTCCGTTTGTTTTCCTTGCTCTGCTTTCCTTTGCTTGCTTGTTGCTCTGGCCTTTGTTTGTGTGAATGCAGCGCACACGTCTTGTCCGTCGTCTGCTGTGGTCGTTGCTTGTTGTCGAGTTGGTTGGTTGTGCCGCCTCCTCCTTGCTTGATGACTCATCAACTTGGGTGCTTTTTATTATTTGTTCCCGGTTGATTGATTCAATGGCCAGTTAATGGCCTAAAAAATAAAATATTTCCCGCAGATTTACACATTTTTTATTTTCTCGAGGAAGGCGCGCTCAACGTTCAAGTTTGTTGTTGTTGTGGTGGTGCGCGAGAGGAGCAACGGTTCAAGAAGCAAGGCAAGAAGGCAACAAGGCAGTTGGTGAGCGACGTGAGCTGCTGCTGTTGTGGTTGGTTCTTGTTGGCTGTTAGTTGGTGTGTGGCTGGGTTGCTGGCTGGTTGTGGTTGACTGTAGTTGGCGACCTGACACTGCTGCTGCAGCTGGACCGCTGAGATCCCCCTCACCCTATCAACGAGCAACCGCCCACGTTTAGTGACTCACATCGTTTGCTTTGCACCTCACACGCGTGCACACGAACGCACGCACGCACGCGCACACTGCCGTGCAACGGCCGATTCAACCACAGCCAGGCAGCCACAGCCCCACATACCCTTCACACACACACACACACACACACACACACACACACACACACACACACACACACACACACACACACACACACACACACACACACACACACACACGGAGCATGCCGCGTGCATCGCCGTCGCTGGGCGAGGGCGCCATCGTCAGTGCCCAGGCACGCATGCTGCACCCCGCCGAGCACTTTCGAGAGGAGTTCGGCAGCGAATACAGACACCACCGCGTGCAGGATTTGGTGGTGCGAAAGCTCGCCATCCGCAAGATCCGCGCAAAGGAAACAAAGGTGGTGCTGCTGAGCCACGCAGACTTTCCCGGGCTCGAAATCTACGCCAGCCCGGGCTGCCTCAAGCTCATCACCGCCGGCCCACCAGAGAAGCAGTTCCGCAACACGGGCGAGCTCGTCTTCAGCAAGACTAAGAAGGACAAGCAAGCCATGGAGCTCTTCCGCGACCGCGCCGATCCAACGGGGCTGACTGTCGACGACCTCTCCGCCCTGCACGACCCGCTGCACCCGCGGGATGAGAACGCCACGGATCTCGGCCTCACCACAGACGTCCGCGACCACCAGGACGCTAGCGCCAGCCTGCTGGATGATGACGACGACGGCGACCACGACCACGACCACGACCACGACGATGCTGGTGACCAGCCCAGGAGGCGCAACCGCGCGGGGAAGAGCAAGCAGCCCGGCAAGCGCGGGCGCCCGCCCAAGGGCAGCGCAAAGGGCAGCGAGTTCACCAGCATCCCGCCCATCTTCGACGAGCAGTGGGTCAGCGTGGCAAAGGAGGCTGCCATCAGACGAGCGCAGGAGGCAGACCACCACCACCATCACCACCACCACCACGTGCCCGGCATTGAGGCTGCCGATATTGGCCTGCCCATGCCCCCGGAGACAAACAAGGCAGCCATGCTCAACGGACTTCCGCTCTCGGATCCGCGCGCCCCCGTATCCATCACGCCCGGCCGCCTCTTCCGCCACTTCTTCCCGCTGGACGCCCTCAACGGCATGGTGACGCAGGCCACAAACGACGCCCACAATGAGATGATGCTGTCGGCGGGCGAGTTCACGCGCTGGCTCGGCATCTGGTTCTGCATGACTTGCTTCCCGGAGAGCCAGATCAGCAACTTCTGGCCCAACGTCGCCATGCCGCTCATCCGCACCCGCCCCAACATGGCCCAGTTTATGTCGCAGGAGCGCTTTGAGTCCATCTTGGCCAACCTGCGGTTTGCGTCCCCGGCGCACGCGCCGACAACCGGCAACGCGGCCCGTGATGACTCCATCGCCGTGCTCTCCACGCTCGTCAGCGAGTGGAACGCAAACATGCTGCAGTCGTTCTCGGCGTCATCGCTCATCCGCCTGGGTCTCTCCTCCTCCATCTCCCTGCCCGGTGTGCCAGACCACGCCACCCTCAGCACGCGCCGCAGGGCCGCCGACCCCTTCTCCACCACATACGCTGCCCTCACCTGCGCACAGTCAGGCCTCCTCTTCCGCCTCGCCCCGCTCTCCCCGCTCGTCGGGTATGCTGGCGGCATTGGTCACCCCATGCCTGCAGGCACGGGCCCTTCGTCCGCTACACAACCAACAGCAGCTGCACCTGCAGCAGCGGTGGCAGCAACAAACGGCGGCACGCCACAACAGCAACAGCAACAGCAACAGCAGCAGCAACAGCAGCAGAGTGCTGGCGCAAGACAGCCACCGCAGGGCCCACAACAGCAGGGCGCACACGCTTCAGCGGGCAGCAGCAGCAGCGCCAGTGGTGGTGGCGGCGATGGGGCAGAGTTTGCCGAGTATGGGCGACTGCCTGGCTTCCTGCTCCGCCTGACAAAGCCACTGCACGGCACCAACCCGGTTGTTGTGCTTGACGCCAACTTTTGCTCGCCGCACGCCATGGCGGCACTGCATCGGTTTGGCGTGCTCGCGTGTGCCCCGGTGCAGACGCGGCGCCACGTGTACCCGCACGGTGTCCCCGGTGCCTCCGCTGACGAGTACATGCGCGACAAAGGGCTTGGCTTTGTCGACGCGCTGCCTGGCCGCCTCGGCTCAAGCCCGCACCAGCAGATGTGTCTGTTTGCGCTTCGCGACAGCACGGGCGTGCCCAAGCTGCTGGCCAACTTCAACGGCGTGTGCCTGAGCGACGACACCAAGACGCGTGTGTCTGCGGACACGGGGGAGCCCACCACCTTCTCGCTGCCGCGCGTGTTCTCGGACTATCTTGCGTCGTGCCACGTGCTGGCCGACCACAACACCATCCGTAACTCGACGCTCTCCCTGGAGAAGTCATGGCCGCAGACGTCGCATGCCATTCGCCAGCTTGCGTTTCTCCTCGCCGTGTCGGAGGTGAACGCGTGGGTCGCGTACAACCACTTCGTGCGGCGCCCCTTCAACCTGCCCGGCGTGAGCTTGCTTGAGTTCCGTGAGACGCTTGCCGTCGACCTGATCAGCAGCGACCTGCCCGACCCGCACACGAGCGCGCCGCAGCCGCAGCCAGGGATGCAGGCACCTGGGCAGGGGCCAGGCATGCCCTATCACCACCACCACCACCCTCACCACCACCACGCCCCGCACCCAGCACAGCCGC